GCTCTGGAGTTTGGTGCGTATATATTTAAGATAGTTATCTCTTCCTCTTGGAGTTTTCCCCTTACGAGTATGTAGTGACCTTCTTTGTCCTTTATGGTCATTGTTGGTTTAAAGTTCACGTTGTCTGCAAACAGAATGGCTACTCCTGCCTTTTTTTGGATTCCTGCTGCATGAAGAATTGTTTTCCATCCTTTGACTTTCAGTCTGTGAGTATCCTTCTGGGTTAGATGGGTTTCCTGTAAACAGCATATGGTTGGATTTTGTTTCTTGATCCATTCTGCTAGTCTGTTTCTTTTGATTGGTGCATTGAGACCATTTACATTAATGGTTATTACTGTTAAATGTTGTTTAATTGTAGGATTCTTATCTCTCTGCTGTTGCATCTTTATCTTTCGGTTCTGTTTAATTATTTGCTTTGCTTAGTGTTTTTTTCCTTTGTGTATCTAAACTGTCTTTCAATATTTTTTGCAGGGTTGGTTTGGTGTTCATGAAGTTCTTCAGCTGTTCTTTGTCATGGAAGTATCGTATTTCACCATCTATTTTAAATGATAGTTTTGCAGGATATATCAGTCTAGGTTGGAAATCATTTTGCTTTAGGATCTGGAATACTTCACTCCATGCTCTTCTTGACTTTATTGTTTGTGATGAGAAGTCTGCTGTGATTCTGATAGGTTTTCCTTTATAAGTGATCTGTCTTTTCTCTCTGACAGCTTTTAATAATCTATTCTTGTGTTGGATTTCTGGGATGGTGATTATTATATGTCTGGGTGTAGTTTTATTTTGGTTATGACTATTTGGAGTTCTATATGCTTCACTGATCCTGATGTCAGTTTCTGATCTCATGCTTGGGAAGTTTTCAGCTATTGCTTCTCTAAATATCCTCTTGATATCCTTTATGTTGTCTCCTTCTTTTTCATTAATCCCTATCATTCTTATGTTATTCTTCTTTGCATCATCTTGCAGTTGTTGAATTGTTGTTTCCTGATTCCTTGTTATTTTTAAAAGATCTTTCCTTTCCTGTTCACTTGCTGCAATCCTGTCTTCAAGGTCTGAAATTCTATCTTCACTTTCATTAAGGCGGTTTTTACAACTTTCAGTGGAGTTTTTTATTTCCTGTATATCTCTGTGCATCTGCATTATGTATTCTGTTTGTTTCTTATATTGCTCGTCTAGGGATTCTATCTTTTTGTTTAATTCCTCCAATTTTTTATCTGTGTTTTCTTTAGATATATTTAGAATCTCTTTCATTTCTTTTATCATTTCTTCTTTTATCTGGGAAATTATTTCGAGTTTGAATTTCTTTAAAGCTTCCTGGAGTTGCTTGTCAACTTCAGTAGCTATTGTGTCTAATATATGAGGAGGATGGGATATATTTTCTTCTAAATACACTTCTCCTAGGGTTTCCTGAGATGGGCTGGAGGTTTGAGGTTGTAATTTGGTCTTTCGTTTTGTCATTTTCCTATATTTCTGTGTTTCAAGTGTTATTTGAAAGCCTCCTCAGGATCTGTTGAACATCCCCTTCTATGTTTGCAGCTACTGAGACTCTGGCACCACTCTACCCCAGGCCATTGGGCCTGCAGAACCAATGGCCCTTCTCTGCTTGTTCAGAACTCCGCGGTTCCAGACAAGCTGGGCCTCAGGGACACTGTGCGCCCACCTGCCCCTTGGTAGATCCACAGCTCTTGGATCGCAGCCGGGTTAGGGTACTCACCACAGACCGCAGTGCCTCAGGAGCCTGTGATCCCTCCCTGCTTGCAGAGATATCCACAAACCTCCAGACAAAGGAAGGGCCTCCTGCCAATGATTGGGAAATTTTGAGAGCATTGAATGATACAGACAGCCCTCTGTGGAATGCATGCCATAGGTTTGTCAGTACTGCTCTAGATCTATAACCCTGTCCAGCTCTCATGTTAGACATCCCCTAGTAGAGCTGGCCTACTTGGGGACCAGAAGTATCAGACCTTGTGTGTGAGATGATTCCAGTTTATTTTGAGCTTTTTGTTTTGAAGCAGGGTCTCAGTGTAATACAGGCTCACCTTGAACTCACTAAGTAGCAATACTAGCTTCAAAGGCAGTGATCTTCTTTGGTCAGACTCCCGAGTGCTGATATTACATGATATGACTTGGTCTCCCTATATGACCACAACTTATCTTTTGGACAGAGTCCAGAACTGGGATACTGTACTGGGTGGATACCTATTAGTGAATTATAAAAGGTGAAATCCTGCTCTGGGGGGACAGCAATAGTTTTACTCAATAAAACCCCGAAATTCCAAAAATTTTCTTGCAAAAGTGGCACATAGAGCGTTCAGTTGAAGAACTTGTACTTTAACAGATGATATCTCACTATCTATCAGTAGATGGCGCTCTAAGAACAGGGAATAAGACAGGTTTCTAGGAAAACATTCACCAGATCAAGCAAACATGATTTAAATTACTACAACCAACAGTCCACAGAAGACCTCTTTTTTAAAACTTGTACCCTTGTACAGTAACCTCATAGAACCTCATATCTTCTTTGTCTCTGCATCTGTCTCCAACTCTTGTGCATTTTGCTAGATCATGCCACAAATAGAGATACGCATCAGGTGACAAAAGGTAACCACAACACATACATCCTTTTAAAAAGATGTATAAACTTGAAGCTACAGCTACCAACAAAAGCAAAACAAAGCAGAATGGAGAAAACAAACTAGCATTATAGAAATAACTCCAAGAGGAGACAGCCATTGGTCAGCATTAGGACCCAGAAGAAAACAGGCTGCTTTTGGCAGCTGTGCCAGCATGAAAACTATACCTTTTTAAATGATCACAAGTTTTTCTTTCCATTCTCCACGATAGACTAGTTTTCTATTATTTTTAAACGCTGTCCCTTTCAGTTGAGCAGCACCAAAAAGCCAAATAATTTGAATTATCTGATAGACAAAAGGTTGGGAGAGAGGGAAGGAACAAGAACTTAACTAGAGTTCCCTTTTGTGACTGAAGGAAACAATACAGAAAGGCACTCAACCACTCACTCTTTGTAAGCCTAGAGGCTACCCTGCTCCCCACCAACATCTTGGGTGCTGCTAAAAGGAACACCTATGTCCCATGGTTCAGGGCATGCTGCCAACTGTATTCCTGCAAAGAAAGGCCGTAATATTAGGCAGACCAGGTCCCCATTGCCAAATACCTTGAGAAAAAAATGAACAAATAGCCTGGGAACACTGTCAAGGCCTTGATGTCCTGACACCATTTCCCTGGTACTCTGAAAAGGCATACAACTTACCAGTCTCTTCCCTCAATTTAGGTCCATTCCCCTCCACTGCATGGGAAACTATACTGAACAACTCATATGTGGCAAGGACAAACAGCAAACTACAACCCCAACTGATTGGCAGGAGCTCTCTTGCTCCCTAGCAAAGACAAAAGTCTTTTGCTTCACAGTTTGGTTATCTCCTTCACCCATGTCCACAATGAGTACCCTTAGTCACTTATGAAAAGGGTGAACGGGTCTTCAAAGGAGAGGAGTTATCTTCCATTTTGACTGGGCTTTTTTTGGCTGCTGATGTCTGCCAGTGTTTCCTGATGTCTGTTTCTGTGCTTACCAGACAATATACCATGAAATGATGCCTTAGTTACTTTTCTTATTGCTGAGATAAAACATCAACACCCACAAGTTAAAGGGATAAAGGTCTATTTGTTTTACAGTTCGTAGAGGTTTCAGTTCACATTTGGCTTACTCCAAGGCAGAGTGGCACAGGCAGAGGGGCATCACAGAGGACAAATAGTTCATTGCAAGCAGAAAACAGTGAAATCAGTAAGAAAGCTTGACCACAGCTCTTTCTGACCCTTTTATTTTATCCAGAGTACTTACGGCGGATAGCACTCACACCCTTAATCCTAGTGCCTTTGAGCCTGGCATTGCACCATAAATCAATTCCAGTGTCACACACTGCATATCCAATTAATTCTTCTGGGCTTCCTCAGAACAGCACTCTGACTATGACAGCATGAGGCTTTGGTGGGAAGGGGCATCTTGACACAAGCCACAACAGTTGGATACAATAGATAGATTCCAGGCTCTTGTATACAGATAGCAAAGAATTGCCAGTATATATGCAATGGTGAAAGAAAACATCTACATTTATTGATGATTTTAGAAGTGCTTAGTGCATATCTATCCTGACAAAAATGTTTCATGCAGAGGAAAAAATGTTACTAGTATAACAGGAAAATTTTTAAAAAAGCTCTTAAATACTTTTGGGTTCTTTTTTTAAAGGAAGAGGACCCAGGCCAGGTGCATCTTGCTGGGTGTCTAGGTAAGATTGACAGGAATAATTTGCAGAGTGCTGCATCATCCTGAGTTAGGGGCTTTCAACAAGTGTGTTCTAGGGTTCAATCTGCTTAAGTTAGGTAACTATAGAAAGAAGATTGGCTCTGGGACAGTAGTCAAACACAAGTGGGTAAAGAGGAATGGTCTCCTAGTCACCGTCATCCTACTGGTAGTAGGACTCTGTGTGTGTGTGTGTGTGTGTGTGTGTGTGTGTGTGTGTGTGTGTTTGTGTGTGTGTGTACGTACACATGCCCTGAGTATATTTTTATTTATTATATTTACTTTACAATATCAGCTTAATATATTAACTAATGGACTGAAAAATAATATATTTATTATCAAAAAAAGCTTTCTCTTAGGGAAGAAAAATAACTTTAATAAAAATCAGGTGCCATTTTAAAGAAAAAATATTTATACATTAAATGAACTATACCTTTTTAACTTAAAGAAATAAATATATAAGATATTACGTGCATGTGTAGTAAGTGTTTAACTGATTCAGCATTTAATATAGCCTTACCATGCTATGAAATAATATAAACTAATATAGCCTTACTATACTAACTATAAATGTCTTTTTAATACTAGAGGTTCTCTATCCAGAGTACTGTAAGCACAATTTAAAAAATTTAGAATTGCAATTGCTGTACAAATAATAACACATTAATACTATGTTCTTTTTTAGGTCGTTGATGATGATAGATATGTTTACCTTGTTACGGATTTGATGAAAGGAGGAGAGCTACTGGACCACATTCTCAAACAAAAGTGTTTCTCAGAACAAGAGGCTAGTGATGTACTATTTGTAATAACTCAAACAGTTGACTATCTTCATTGCAAAGGTGTAAGTTATACTTTTCACTTTAATTATGAGAATAATGTCTTCATTAAATTATATATAGGAATTATATATAGGTGATGATACCATGTAAAGGGAATTTCTTTTTTCTCATTTATATAGACAATATCCTAATTAACCTCATTGACAAAATGAAGGTTATAGATTAAGCAACTGACTAATGATTTATTACATCTATTCTCATTTCTCATGGGCTTTGAGACAATAGCATATTAGTTTTGAAAATAATTTGAACTATATACATGTTCCTATCATTGTCTTTAGAAATATTAACCTTAATGAAACTTAGAAATATAAAGGAATTCGCAAAGGACATATTATATTTTTGAAATGATATGAAACCTAGCATAGAAAATTCTACAAATAAGAGGACTGCATATTTTGGTAATTACCAATTCTTCCCGCAAATATAGTAAAAAGTGTGGATTCTAAACTTTTGAAATATTAAAATATCAAGGTTTGTGATGGCTGCCAGGCATGGTAGTATGTGCCTATGATCCCAGCACCCAGGAGGCTGTTGCAGGAGAATTTCCTCAATTTGAGGACAGCCTGGGCTAATTAGTGAATTCAAGATTACCCTGGAATACTGGCTCAAAAAAAAAAAAAAAAAAAAAAAAAAAAGAAAAAGTTATAAAGGAGGAGTGAACTTGCTATTTTATAATTTCCTGTCTTTTCATAAAGAAGGCAAATAAATTTAGTTACAAAATGTCAACTTTTATTATATTTAGTTATACAAGCCCTTAAAGTAGTAATTATTTATAAATTTATGTTTGACTTCATGATCAGACTATGTATATCTGTATACCTTTTTTACCATTATCGATGAAAAAATGACTATTCAAAATTGACTGAAAATTATACACAAAGTACTTATAAATAACAAAAAAATGAACCAATGATCAATTTGACATGTGACTCAGTAGAATAAATTTTCAATACTTTGAAAAAATTGCATTATACTAAAGGAAAAGAGTAATTCTCTTAAATTATCCCTCAACTATCTTCATCAATGACACTCTAAAGTTTGAATAGATTTTTGAGAATTTTCTAAATATCTATTCACCGATGTATTATTTTATACACATGACTTTTTACATAAAATACCATGATAGTAGACACATATTGAGAGCATTCATATGCCAGGAATTGTAGATTATTATAGATTCAAATATGAGTTACACATGGACATGTCGTTAGTTTTCAAAGTTGTAACCTTCTGATTAAATGTAAGACTAGATTAACCAAAGTGGATAGAGGCAGGAAAAAATCATCCATAGAAGATTCCGGAAATTTTCAATTTCTATATTTTGTTTAATCATTCTTCAATGTTTCTATTTTTTTTTTTTTTTGCTTTCTCTCTTTTTTTTTTTGCTGAAAGTTTTGTGTAGTGAAATCACATTTTCTTTAACATCATTGAAAATGGTTATAATAGCTAATTTAAAATCTTTGTTACTTTCAGAAGGCTATTTTATTCATCATTGATTGGCTTTCTGTTTTTCTTAAGACTGTGTTCTGTTTTCCTGGTTCTTGTATATCAATTGATAGTGAATTATGTCCTCTGGTAACAACAAATTATAAAATATTTATTTCTGTTATATTTCTTTAATAGCTATGATTTCCTTTGCATAAGTGGGTAATCTTGGCTGGCTTGAACTGAAAATTCTTGAGTTTTAAACAGCAATTCTGGTGTCCTCATTTCTTGTGTCCCTATATGAACTGCTTTAAACTTTCACAAGTTTTTGATTCAGGAGTTAGAGTTAGCATTTATAATATTTCTCCCTTCAGCATTCAGAGTTAACCACCATTGGAGCCCCATTCAGGAAGTTTTTGCAAATGCATATTACTTGAAGTGTTTCCATATGTTTTCCTGTAACAGTTTCAAAGTTTCATGTGTTATTCTTGGATTTTTGATCTATTTTGTGCAGGGTGAGATAGGGATCTTATTTCAACCTTCTCCAGTTTTCCTTGCCTCATTTGTTAAAGTAACTTTTTTCAACAAATTTTTGCCCAGTTTGTGAAGAATAACATAAGTATAATATGCTTGGGTTTGTTTCTGATCTTCTATCTTATTGCACTGGTCAGTGTTTCTATTTTTATCCTGGTATTATGTTCTTTTTGTTACTATGGCTGTGTGGTATATTTTCAAATTGGAGAGAGTGGTGACTCCACCAATGCTCTTTTCTAATGAATGTTTTAGTTATGCTTGGTCTTTTATGATTCCTTGAAGATTTATTTTTATGCTTTTCTGAAAAATATTGATATTTTGATCAGGGTGGCAGTGACTCTGTACATTACATTTGAAAATGTGGCTATTATAAGAATGTTAATTCTGCCATTGTATTACCATGAAAGGTATCTTTCTTCCATGCTCTGTAATTTTTATTATGGAGGACTTTAACTTCCTTGTTTTGTTACTTTATATGTACATTTTAAAAAATGTCAATGGAATAGTTTCCCTACTCTTTTCTCAGGGGTTTATCATTATTGTATAAAAAAACATATTGATATTTGTGTGTTTGATTTTGTACCCTACCATTTTGCTGAATTGTCTATCAGATTCAAAAGTCTTATGGTTGTTTTTTCTGGTCTTCTATTTAAAACATTCTGCCATCTGGAAATAAAAGTATTGTAACTTCTTTCTTTCCTATTTGTGTCTTTTTTTATTTTTTCTCTTGCTTAATTGCTCTGGGTAAAATTTCAAATGCTGTGTTGCATAGGGCTGTTGAATGGACACCTTTGTCTTTCTCTAATTTTATAGGAAATGCTTATATATATATTTCACTTTTCAGTATGATGTTGGGCATGGGTACGGTATACATAGCCTTTGTTCTATTTAAGGTGCAGTGTTAAAGATGTTGGACTTTTGAAGGCTTTTTCTGCATCTACTGAGATGACCATATAGTAATTTGTATCCTTCATTTAATTTATGTGTTTTATTATGTTCGTTGATTTGTTTATGTTGAAATATCGTTGTATCTCTGAGATGAAGCCAGCATGATCATGGTTGTGATATCAGTATTTTTAATGTCTTCTCGAATTCTTTGTGTAAGAAATTTATTGAAGATCTGTGTTCATCATTACTTATTGAGTCTTTATCAAGTTTTAGAATCAGGGTGATACTCGCTGTCTATAATGAATTTGGAAACATTCTTTCATTTTCATTTTTATGGAAAATTTGTAAGATCATTGGCGTTAGTTCTTCTTTAAAGGTCACATATAACAAAGCAGTAAATTCATTCAGTCCTAGGCCTTCCTTTGTTGGAAGACTTCCACTTCATCCAAACATTGACTTTTACTGTCTGCTTAGGTTTTTTATAATCTTGGCTCAATTTTGATTGGCTGTGTGTCTCTAGAAATGTATCCATTTCTTCTAGATTTTCCAGTTATTGGAATATGTATTCAAAATAGTTCCTAATTATTCTCTGGATTTCAGTTCTATCCAATGTAATATTCCCAATTTGCCCCTTTTTTAATACCCTAATTTGTTTGTCTTTATTTACATAGTTTGGCTAAAGGTTTCTCAATCTTGTTTTGCCTTTCAAAGGATCAACTATTTTATTTTTTATTTTATAGAAAAAAGGTAAAACAAAATTTCATAACAAAATAATAGGAGAATAATAATAGGATAATAATAGGAACAATAATAGAATAATAATAGGAGAATGTATTGTGTGTTGTTATCTTTTTTTTTTTTTTTTTGTCTTTTTCATTTTTATCGGCACCAGGGATCAAACTCACGACTGCCTGCTTGCAAGGCAGGCCCTTATGCCGCTGAGCTAAATCCCCAGCCCCTATTTTTTAAAATGTTTTTTTTGTCTTTTTTTTTTTTTTTTGTTGTTGTTGTGTGTTGTTATCTTTAAAGCAGCTGCTCAGAGTATAAGATATGGACATAAAAATTTCTCCTATTGATATTAACATAAGCTGTCTTTTACAATGAACTTAAAGAAACTGATCATATAATTGATTTGCATTTTTTTGCCTTTTGCCTTCCATCATTTTCCCTTTCCTCCATCCTGGTCCAGTTTTCCTCTTTCTTATTTTTTGGTATTGTTCTTTAAGTGTATTTAGTAATTTAAGTTTTCATCTTTATTATTCCTTTCTTTCTATTGGTTTTGCACTTGATTTCTCCTTGTGTCTGAAAGACCTTAAAGTATATTATTAGTTTACTTGAGATTTCTTGGGTTTTTTAATGTAGGTACTTTTAGCAATAAATTTCCTCTCAGAATTTCTTTTACTATGTCCCTCACATTCTGGTATATTGTTTCCATTTTATTTCATTCTAATTTTTTTTAAAAATTTCTTCTCTAATTTCTGTAATGATTTCATGTCAGTTCAGAGGTATATTATTTAATCTTTATGTGTTCATATAGTTTCTGTAGTTTCTCTTGTTTATTTTTAGTTATGATCTAAGGCTACTGTATCACATTGTTTTGATTTTTAAAGATTTGATTTATGCCCTAAAATATTGTCTGATTTTATATAAATTTCCATGAACTATTGAAAAGACTATGCATTATGTTTGCTTGAAATATTCTGTAGATATCTGCTTAGTTCCTTTGATATGTAGCATTGTTTAACTGAGATGTTTCTTTATCGAATTTTTTATCCAGATGACCTGTTTGTGAGAGTAATGTGCTCAGTCATGGACTATTATTATATTGGGATTTATGTCTTAGTATCTAGATGTGCTTGTTTATAAAATTTGTGACATATGTATTTACAATTGTTACATTTACTTGGTAGCTTATTTGCCTTTCCAATATATATTGACCTTCTTTGTATCTTCTATCTTCACTTGAAATTTTCTGTGTTAGATGTGAGTATAGATACTCATACTTGCTTTTGGATTTCATTTACCAGAAATGGCATTTTCCATCCTTTCACTTTTTGTCAGTATGCGTCTTCATTGATGAGGTGTCATTCTTACATGTAGCACATAGTTGCATCATGTTTTTTAAACTAATACACTATTTGGAGCCTTTCAGCTGAAGATTTAAGATCATTGACATTCAGTTTTGTTAATTACACACACACACACACACACACACACACACACACACACACACACATATATATGTACATATACACTAGTTCTTAGATTTTACTGATTTTCTGATGCTTGATTCTTTTCTACTAGTCATTTGATTATTTCTTTTCTTCCTATTTTTCAATATGATGTTTCTTTAAGTATTCTCTGTTATACTGGTATAGTGGTTGCTCTAGTTTCTGTGTATCTGGAAAAGTCTTTACTTCTTCTTTGATTCCAAAGGATGACTTCATTGGACATAGTAATGTAGTTTTATCATTTGATACCCCCCACTCTTAAAGTTTTTGCTGAGAAATCTGTCATCTTTCAGACGTTCTTGCCTTTACAAGTAAATTGGAGTTTCTCGCTCATTGCTTTTGATATGCTTTCTTTGTTCTGTGTTTTTGACATTTTATAATATAACCTAGGAGGTTTGTTTCTGGCCATATCTGTTTGAGGTTATAAATTCCTCCAGTGACTCAATGTCCACATATTTCTTAAGATTGAGGAAATTTTCTGGTATTTTTTTTAACTAAATAGATGTTCTGTGTATAGTCTGTATTTTGTAGCTCTCTTATGTTTGTTCTTTTACTCATGTCCTAGATGTTCTGTATGTTTTGCTCAAATTTTTTTTCTTTATTCTTTGCTGAATGTGATATTATACCTACCTATATTAAAGCCCAGAATTTCTGTCTTCAGCTTGATCTTGGCTACTGGTGATGCTTTTCAATTAAAGTTTGTTTTTAATTGAGCGTTTTATTCTCAAAATTTCTTTAGTTGATTCTCTATAATCTATTTTAATTAAAATGTTCTTGCATATCCTTTATTGTTTCCTTTATAACACTGTTTTTTATTTCTTTTATCATTAGTATGTGTTTTTAGTATATAATGATTACAGTTTTGTGGGGAATTGGTGCATTTACATAACACATTTCAATTCTTTTTTTTTCTTTCTTTTTTCATATCCTACCCTGTTATCCAACTCTTGATCCCCTTTTTATTTTCAAAATTTCTATTTTCATCACTTTTCCCTTCAATACTTTTTTCATTCCCTATCCTTTGAATTCATTGATCATTTTGTAATTATTCTTTTGAATTCTTTGGTAATTTGTTGATTTCAATATTGTTGGGACCAATTGCTGTAGAAGTAAATAACTCTTGGAGAAATTATATTGCATTGTTTTCCTTGTTCCTCAGATTCTACATCATTATTTGCACATCTGTCAGAATGGAATTCTTTTAATCATTTATGAGAGGGTCTTCTTAGGGAGAAGGTTATTCTTTACCATGTGTCCTGGTTATCTATCTGCTGTATAGTACTAACTGTTGTACTAAGAGGATTTTGCTATATATTTTCACCGTAGCTCCCTTGTGGTTGATTGATGTGAGTTGCCATGGCATGTGGTGTGTCACAACTTTAGTGACTTACTTTCTCTGCAAATCTTGGAAAGGTAGCTTCCCTCTGTTAGGTAAGGCAAGTGGATTTCAAGCACAAGTATATATGTAGTGTGCCCTTTCTGGATTTTTCTCGATTTTTTTTGACAAACTATTGCCTCAAAGGTAAATAGTGCAATCTTCTGATATATTTTGAAAGTGCATTTTGACAAAAACATTATTTCTTTCTGCTGCTGTTTTTGGGATAAATGTCCAAAATCAAAACTTCAACCATTTCACTTCAAGTTGCGCTTTTTGGGCCTAGTTTGTTAGTTGGAGAATTCTATTATCCTAGTTTAGGTGGAAATATGGTCAGAAGCAAGCCAGACAAAATTGTGGCTTAAATTGGATATAATGCATCTTATTGGGCTTAGTAATATAGCCCAGAAGTACAGCACCTACTCACTGTACTTGTATGCCATACTCGATTCCCAGCATTTCTTAGAAGGGAGACAAAAAGAAAAAAACAGTGGCACACCCACCTGTAAGTAAATCTAATCTAACATTAGAATGAAAACCAAATAAAAAAGTAATAAGCACAGCATCCATAACCCTAAGAAAAGAAAGTAGAAAATAGCATGCGATAGACTAATAAGTTGAAGATTATATTATTTTTGTTTGTTTGCTTGTTTTTGGTACTGGGGTTTGAACTCATGACATTATTCTTTCTATAATAAGCCACTGAGCTAATCCCTAACCCAGTAAGTTGAATATTAATGGAACAAAGAATAAGAAATAAGAAAAAAAAATGGATTGCAGAAGTGATGAAAAAAGGGGAAAAAAGAAAAAAGATGGAAAAAATGGAAAATGGGAAAAGAAAGAACAAGATAAAAATCCAAGGAAATCAGAGAAAATTGAAAGTGTACTGTAAATGTAAGGAAAATAATGAAAAGTGGAAAAATAAAAGTAAAGGTATACATGATTGAAAATAGGATAGCTGAGAAAAAGAAAAGAACAAAAAAATAAAAACTAAAACTAAAAACTAATCAGAAACTCATCTTGCCTAAATAATTAGACTTAGAGAGATAGTCTGCCAAGTGGATAATGAGAAACAACTAAGTTAATCTGTTTCCTTTTTCTCAGTTTGCATGAGACTGATTAGGGCTGTTTGCTTTCTATGTACACTTTTTTACTTGGCAAGCTGAGATACTGTTGGCTGCTTCCAGGATGTCATTCCTGAGGAGGGTTTTTCTGTGTATACACAGGGTTGTGGCAGTGGACTGAGTAGCAATCAGGATCCCTCATCTCTAGGCAAGCCTCAGTGGCATCTAGCGTGCACAAAACAAGTGTATGTTTGTTCTACCTCCTATGTTTGTGTACACAGAAGTGTTAGTAATGACTGAGTA